ACATTTTAAGTGTCAATGCTATTTTTATTATGGTACCTTTGCACAAACATGATTTACTCTTAATTATGCTTATAATCGAAAGCCCAAACAATTGAATGAATAAATTATCTCATCATCTTTTTGTGTTTAATTTTGTGCACTGACATAACTATAGGTGTTAGTTAAATAATTACAATAATTTGTGTTGTTGAATTCATTATTTTTTATTTTTCCAAATTACTAAATTCTCACTCATTTCAATCATTTACTAACATCATAGGCTCTTGTGTATTGTCTTATATATTGCATTATTGTGGAATCTTAATGATGATCGTTGCTATGTATATACGCTCATAATATTTTTTTTATTCACATTAGAAGGTTGATCAATCCTAACATTGAAAAAATATGATATTTAAATTGTGCTGATTGTTATATTAATGCTTTCCATGTTGCATTCCATTGGTGTATATTTAGCTTCCATAAAACAAAAAAAAAAACTATGAATCGATCAATGTTAAAACTGGGTGGTTCATCAAAAGTTTGACCGAGTTCGCTATTTAAATATTTAGTCTAGTCAGTTCTGTGTTGAAGTAATTTTGGAATTCAATCTAATTGGCTAGAACATCGGTTCATAGTTGAGTTGGTCAGATTAGCCTGTTTGGTTTGACTTTAAAACCATGGTTCTCGCCCATTGGATTAAGTTTTTGGGTTGAAAATTAATATTAATGTGTGAAACTCAAATCAGTCCCCAATTGGCTCATACTTCCTAATGACATGGACTCGCTGTTGAGGGTAATGTTTATATTTCCATTCATTAATTGCTTTATTATATATTGTATGTCTAGTCATTGCATCATCATTTTTTATCACCACCTTACAACCAAAAACACCCATAACACTCGTCCCTTGAGTCATCAATCCTTGCTTAGCAAATACAGTAATTAGTTAACAATGATTTTAGCTGAGTGATCAATCCTTGCACAGTAAATACACTAATTAGTTAAGATTGATTTTAGTTATGTTCAAATTATTTGTTTTTCCAAATGAAGTTAATTTCATAGTCCTCGTATTATTTAGGATCTTTGTTTATTTGATATAATGAATATCAAAACTGATCTGAAATGGAAATCAAAATATTAACATTTTTAAAATAAGAATGTGTATTATTATTTCAAAATTGAACTGAATGAACCAAATGGGCTCGGCTAAGTTCGGTTTTATGGTTTTGACCAAATAATGCACATCCCTATTTATTAATTTGCTATAAATGTCAAAATAGTGTGTTTGATGAATTTTATGCCATCATGAGCTTCAAAATAACTTGTTCTTCCTTTTGTGACAAGCATGTTTTCGTATTTGAAGGTTTTATTGTTCCCATCTTTTTCTCTTGGTTTTGGCAGGTTTATGAAACAAATTATAAATGACGCCAGTGATCTAGTATGTAAAAGAAGAAAATTACCTCATATTGATCTTGATATTTGGAAGTTCCGGAGATTCTCAAATCCGTCTCAAAGTTTTAAAGACCCTTTGATTCCTTGTAATATTCTTTTTCTTTGCTTTGAAGAACCTTAGCCTAAAGTAATCATAATTTTCTTTACTAATACTGATCAGCTCGTTTATGTTACAGTTTCTTCTCCCGTGCAAGAAAAACCGTCGCAGAAGAAATTGCCTAAGCTATCAAAAAATTCTGTTGAACTTATTGATTCACCCAACGTGAAAGATGGAATGACTCTTGAATCTTCAAATGCTGAAATAGATACAGAAATTTCGATGCAGAAGCGAATCGAAATGCCAGAAATTTCAATGCAAAAGCTGGTTGAAATGCGTCCTCATTTACCAAAGGAGTCTGCAGTTGACCATATCGATCCAACGAACAAAGAAGATAGCACGCCTCACATTAATGCCGAACCAGAAACAGAAGCTTTGATTCAAAAGCTAGACCTAACATGTCAGACCCCATCAAATTCTTCAGACTGCAGGTCCAACTGTTTGAAAAATGTTAACGAAGAGTTCACTTTACCAGATGCTGTCCATTATCAACTAGAAAAATTGGTAAAGTTTGAGAGCATATGTTTAGATTTTCTACCTGATTTTCATTTGTTTTCATAAACTTGCTTGTTTGTTCAGGAACTCTGCTTTCATGGGGATGATATTGGTGAACAAGGTATTCTTTTAAACTGTGTATACATAAAGTTTTGTTTGTTTCAGTTTATTTCAAGTATATATTCATACATTACTACATCTTCTTGCAGCTAATGGATGGCCCCCAAGTACAAGGTTGGTAAATGCATTAACATTTTTTTTTAAACTTAGGTGTTATTGAAAGTTTTACTGGATAAAACAAGTGTAACTTTCACAGGGTAGCAGCACAGTACTTATATAACAGGTTTCTGAGGCTTAGGGAGAAAGAAGTTGTGGCTTTGAGTCTGACAGAGATTCTTGAAGGAAAAACAAGAGCAACACGTGCCAGATTCATGTACGAGACGCTGGTATTTTTCCATACTCTTTTACCATGCAATGAGACCCATATTTAGCAATAAATTATCTGCCAATATATGATCTCAAATATGCTTATATAGTTTGCATGTGATGAATGTTAATTGAAACTTGATTTGGTTTTGTTTTTGTTTTGTTTTGTTTTTATTTTTTGTGCAGACTTTGAAGACATATGGATGTATAGATGTTAGACAGGATTTTCCTTATGGTGATGTCTCTATTTCGGCAACTCCGGTGCTAGAATCTTTTCAGAAAGTTTATATGTGAGGATATTACTTAAGAATTTTTTCAGGAGTCTCTTTTTTGTAAATGTTCCTGGCTCATAGGCTCCTTTTTGTTTTCAAAATATCTGTGTATATATTTAAAGATACTTTCTGGTTTTGTTAAGAAAGGAAAAAGGTGGAAAAAGGTTTTGTAGAGAGCCGTGCTATCTAAGTCTTGAAATTAGTTTATGTTGATGGAAAGCTTTCTTTAAAAAAAATTACTTTTGTTTTATCTATTCCAAAAGTTATAGTCTTGTTCCTTATTTTGTTGAGCTTTTTATTTTTTTCTTCCCCTAGTTGCCACGAACTACTGGCAATCAAAGATTCCATGGATACGCTTGCAAATATCTAGTAATTTCATGATGAAGTCCATGAAATCTTATCTTGTCATGAGGCTAGTTTCAATCAATTGAGTGAGGTGTCAACACTGAGCTCCAAACACAATCAGCCTCTTGAAGCTCCCTTTGAGGATACATTAATGTCAGCCTCTTTGGCCTCGAGGGATCCATGGCCAACATTGGAGCTCTGCCAAGAACCGCCCTAACAACTCTTAAAATTGGCCTTTTAAAATTTATTTGGCTTGAGACCCTTGTAAATGAACTATAAATAACTTGTCTTTCATCCAAATGGACCTGCCTTGCTGCTGCTAGCCATACTTCAGCGGAATCTTTCTTTTTCCATGTGATTGTCGCTATCCGATCTCTTTGCTTAATAATAGCACCCTGAACTTCTATTGAGAACTTCTATCGTCGGGTATGAAACTAATTGCATAGAGAATCTTGTATTTGCTCTCATTTTATAAGGACTATAGACCGGAAGCTATGGCACCAATAGAGCTTTTCATTCTTTTTGAAAGAAGATTTTTCGTCCAAATCGTGCGCAACCAATAAACTTGGACGCCTTCTTACTTAACAAGTTCAGAGGACTCCTCTACAGCCTCATGTCTTACTGACAAGTTGACCTCATGACCATTTCATATGCTTGCTGCTTGGGGCTAGGCTTTTGAATGTTTCTACCCAAAATTAAAAAAAAAATTTACAAGATTTGGGATTAATTCAATCGATTCACAACATATTCTCATCTTCACTTACAGTTTTTCTAGTTGAGGATGGAAGTTAGAGGTTTTACATTGATAAAAAGTGTGGATGGAAGTTAGAGGTTTTACATTGATTATCTAGTTTCGAATAATGTCACCATTTACGACAAATACCTTATTTTCGTCCTCGATAAGCTCTTAGATGAACTTTCGGATTCAATTTTTTTTTCAAATTAAACCTCAAGTTGAGTTATTATCATATTTAGGTGCATGAAGCAGACATTCCAAAGGCTTTGTCCCCTTGATGAACGATTAATATTCTGATGCCATAAATTTGTAACTTTTAAAAATATGATCTTCAACTTTCCTACAACCACAAATATCCTTTATTCTATATTAAAGTCATTAAAACATTTTTGTAATGTTCTAGTGAGACTAGAAAGCTAATGGAGTAACCCTTCTCCTAGGATAATAGTCACACTCATCAAAATTTTAATGCCCAAAAATTTATTTGCTCATATCATAAATAGGACTCTTATATGTGTGACATTTAATGCATTATGCTTGAAATATATTTTTTTTTTTTAATAAACCTTTAAGTTTTAAAAAAACTATTTTCAAATTCTTAATTAATTTTGATTTTCTATCTATAGAACAAATTTGTCAAGAGATTAAAAATTGTAAATTTAAATTTATACATTTGATAATATCTATATATTTATATTAGATACCACACAAGAAATGAAATTTGATGAGCCAGTAAATCAATTTCAAACAATTATAATTCTACTTCTTATTGAAAAAAGTTATTTGCTTAAGATAATGAAGTTAAGCAATAAATTTTATGATTTATAATTGACTGAAAAAGTCGAACTTTCCCTTATATTCTTTATTTTACGTGTGCATAGACCTCAAATTTTTTAATATAATTTCTAGAAATAGCTTCTTTATTTTTTGTCATTTAGATAAAAGTAGTATATGCTCTTAACACGAGTTATAATGAAGATACAAAAAAATCTTATTTTGTACACTTAAAAATAAAACTCATACACAACCATACATAAATATAATATGTTAAGAGTTAGAAAGGAAAACAAATAATGAAATTCATCAATAAAACTTGCAAACAGATCCACAAAACAATAAAATAACATCTAATTGAAATTTTTGAAAGAAAATTATGTAAAATTAAAACTACTTATAAACCTATAAACATACAAATAATAATTAATGAACTTAAAAATATCAAATAAAATTAATTATATTAATGAAAAGCCCATCCTATGATGATATCCCACTAATCAAATTGTTAGAATGGGCTATAAAACAAGTACAACAAGTGAGTTTGATAAGTTAAACAAAAAATTAATTATTATTTAAAGAGTTGATATTGAGGCATTCAATATGAATAATAAAATAAATGATTTATATGTATACAGGAAAACAATTAGTGTCATCGAGTTTTTTTTTAGATTATAATAATAGTTTAACATAACCAAAATGTGGCACAAATTTTAAAATGAATTATAAAATAATATTTTTTATAACTATTTATTTGATAAATTGTAACGCATGTTATCTCTAATTTAAAAACTCTACATGCAACCGTGCTAGATTTAATGAAACAAATCTAAATCAAATTGATCAGTCATTTATTATGTAACATATTGACAATCTTATTTAGGAGGCCATTCTAAATTTGAATACCAATCCATTGAAATCAAATGAAATGTGATATGGTTTTTAGTTGTTACTTTGTGGCCTTGCTAGCATGACAATCCTATCTTTTACTAAGTTGTCAGATTGTGGCCTTGCTAGCATGACAATCCTATCTTTTATTTGTATACAGAAAAACATTTAGTGTCATCGAGTTTTTTTTAGACTTTAATAATATTTTAACATAACCAAAATGTGACAAATTTTAAAATGAGTTATAAAATAATAATTTTTATAACTATTTATTTGATAAATTGTAAAGCATGTTATCTCTAATTTAAAAACTCTACATGCAACCGTGCTAGATTTAATGAAACAAATCTAAATCAAATTGATCAGTCATTTATTATGTAACATATTGACAATCTTATTTAGGAGGCCATTCTAAATTTGAATACCAATCCATTGAAATCAAATGAAATGTGATATGGTTTTTAGTTGTTACTTTGTGGCCTTGCTAGCATGACAATCCTATCTTTTATTTTGGAAAAGGTATTCCTACCTATACACAATTTTATGCAAACATAGATGTCATAAATAAAATTTTAATATGTATTTTATAAACAATACACTAAAAAATATTTATATATCAAAACATGAGTTATATGAGCATTATCTTTTAGTAGATTCAACTAAGATAATGTATCAATATTAAAAATTGCAACTATATGAATTGATTGAACAAACTTATCTTTACACACTAATAGGCCAAGTAAAATTATCCTTGTAAATTACTATTCATTATCAACATTTAAAAAAACTATGATATGCATACAATAACAGGGGTGGAACCGACAATAGTTGAATTATTTGAGATCAAATTGATAACTTTGAGTGAAGGATCAAAATAGAGACCTTACAAAAAAGAGTTCTAAAGTAATTTTTAAATTTAATGATAGAAAGTCAAACATATGATGCCACAATACCTAACTCAATGACTTGAATACAATAAACATAAAATAAGAGTAAATCAACATTGGTCACTTTAACATCCAACTAATCTAAATATTATAATACACTTCTCAACATTAAACTAATGTTATAATTAGATTTATACCTTCTCTGAATTCATTGTATCAAAATACAAAATTAAATCTCATGGTTTTTATAAGATTTTGAATAGCTAATTTCTAGCCTAAATAGTCAAAAGTGTAATTAATCAATTCATTTTAGCACAATGTTTAGCAATATGGAAAACTTAGTTTGGTTATTAAGGGAAAAAGGAGAGACAAAAATGAAGATATGGAACAAGGGAACGTGAGTGGAAGAAATATTGTGTCCGGAGGCCGGACACGAGCTGCATTCGGACAACGGACGTGATACACCGGGTGCAACGAAGAAAAAAAACATAACCCAATGTATCGAGTCCTTTGTCCGGTCGAAACTCGCGTCCGAACTCCTGATGCAATATTTTCTCACGCGAGAGAGCTTCTATTGAAGATAACTAAACAACAATTCAACTAAGTTATAACATTTTAAATATACGCTTTCATCTGTATTAACATAGGGGAAAAAATTAGATAAGATTATATCGAATTATTTTTGTGAGGAAAATCATAAATATTATTTGTTTTGCAACTAAATAATACTAAATTAGAGAACTTTAATTTGTGAATTTATTAAGAAATAATAAATACAATTGTAATTAAACGTATAATGAAATAATAAATATTTTGATAATTTTATATAATTAATAAATTAAATATTTAAGAAGTGAGAAATTTACATAGATGCCACACAATTTTTATGTATTTATACATCTAACGCCTAATGTTTAATATTTACATTTATAACACATTGTTTTCATAACCTCTGCATCAAAATGTGTTTCACGTTTTGAAAGTCGGTAATAGTTTTTTTTTTTAGGTAATATTAAATATTTGAGTGATTATAAATATAAAAATGGAGATGTTAAATATGTAAATATGTAATAATTGTGTGTTAAGCATGTAAATGCACCTTGACGCGCCATTAAGAAATTTTTATTATATGCACTAATTTTTTTTGCAAGAAATATTTCAGATTCAAATACAAGTTCATCCAGATTCTTAATTTCAACAAATTTATAGTCAAGCTTAACTGTCTCAACAAGACGAGCACGCTGATAAAAATATTAGTTTGATTCGAGTCGAATAAAGCCAAAATCAAGTCATTAAAACACTATTAGAGATTTTGGATCGTCGATTGAATGGTCCAATAAACTTCAAATCTGACATATTTATATTAAATCTAAGCGCCTCGACGAGAAGAATCCAACGAGCTTAAGGCTGCTTATTTCCAAGGTCATTAATGCTTTCAAATTAAGAAAATATCACCTAAGATCAAAAGGGATGGATATGGGATGTCTAATCAGGTGCTCAAGACTTATTCGTCAAAAGAAAAAAAATATCCCTATCCCAAAGGCCAT